CTGTCAGATGTGGGGTTGGTGAATATCTTTTCCCAGTCTGTGGACTGCCGTTTTGTCTTGCTGACTGTCTCCTTTGCCTTACAGAAGCTTCTCAGTTTCAGGAGGTCCCATTTATCAATTGTTGATCTCAGTGTCTGTGCTACTGGTGTAATGTTCAGAAAGTGGTCTCCTGTACTGATTAATTCAAGGGTACTTCCCACTTTGTCTTCTAAAAGGTTCAGTGTAGCTGGATTTATGTTGAGATCTTTGATTCATTTTGACTTAAGTTTTGTGCAAGGCGATAGGCTTGGGTCTAACTGTAGTCTTCTACATGTCTGCATGGTATAATTTGGATTATAATTTCAAAAATGGTACCTGTGTTATATTGCTGTTTTGTTAATGTCTTCAAAGAATGCAAACATCAAGGAATTATAATTCCCTTTGCTGTTGTATGCTAATTGTTTATCGGATTCCAATTTTGCAAAACTTGGACTCTACAAACAATGCATGTTTGTAAAATGAGGGAAAATAAATAATTTCAGAAAGTTGTAAAATGTTCTGGTTGCTTTTATTAGGCAGCACACAGCTAGAACAAAGCTGCTATTGATGCCAATTTTCAGTCACTATAAAGAGCCTGCCAGCCTCTGAAGAAAGTAAACTCCTAAAAACCTTTTTTGATTGAAGATGGGTAGCACCCCTTAACCAATTTTATACAACCTGTCCACCTTCTCTCCCTCCCTCCATCTTCAAGTGTGTGTGTGTGTGTGTGTGTGTGTGTGTGTGTGTGTGTGCAAATACACAACTCCAGAACTTAGCAAGAATGTTTTAAATACTGTGATTATGATATTGGAGAAGCTTCAGAATGGCTATAATGGTCATCTTATTTCAAAGAGGTACCCACAATACACCTAACTATGTCCGTACACACCCAGCCTATAGAGCACTAATGAAAAGCCTACTTTGACAGATCTGCTAAACAGAGAAAGGTGACAATAATAAAAGGCCTGATGCTCAAGTGAATCTCAACTCCAGAAACTGGAGACTATGAGAGAGAGTATTGTATGAGGAGGGCAAAAAGACAGTATGACCAAGTACAAGTTGGTGGGATGATAGAACGAAGAAACCACTACACATCTATACATATGTCTGCATGTCTATAAACATAGATTTTACTCATCTATTTTCTTTTTGCATTATGTGTGGACTTCAAAACAGGAATTCAATTCAGAGGCATTGCTTTAGATCAGTGTTAACAAAACTCGAAAACAATGCGGCTCCTCACCCCTTTGTACCTTTGATTTAGTAAAAATATTCACAGTTTCTTATGTTTTTTTTTTAACTTTTTCTTTGCCAAACTTACTTCAACCACATACTTATTTAGTATTATCATAAGTGTGGGCTGAGATGAAAACCACAAAATAATTTTCTTTGTCTCTACAGATTTATACATTTATACATCTAACATATATTTTGAAAATGAGATCTGTGTGTACCTTTCTCGTTTTCAACTACCTGAAGGAACCAAGTACTAATCCAAAGCTCGCAGGCCAAATCAAGGAGTGCTGGAGTATGCCTTCATGCTTGGGACTCTAAATACTGCTCCACCACCAGAGTTTGGATTTTCTAATTACCTTCCTTCATTAACTCCTAGCTTTCTACAATTTTCTTTCAATGTACAAAAACAGTAAGGCAGGAATAAAAAAGAATGACAAGTTTCTGTTTTGATACACACACTCTTATCTCTAAAGTTAATGCTGATGGCTGTTCTTGCAGTCATGGGCTAAGGTGCCAACACTTTAAGTGTCAAGGTAAGCTTTAGATACTAGACAACATAGTACCTGCCCCCTGCCCCCCGCCCCACCCAGTGTTCTAAAGTGCTGCTTCTAAGGCAAACATATTTCACATTAAAACAAACACCTACCTGATATGGAATGAAGGACAGAATTGAAATACATTAAACTACAATACTGAATAAGAAACTCCCATGTTTCTAGTATAGCAATTCCTTAATCTATTTATTATTAATGCTATGAGCACTCTGGTAGAAAGTTTGATATGGGAAGAAAAAGCATAATGTTGATTCCTGCTGTTGATTCTGTACCGCTTTGGACCAAGACTTGGTTCTTAACCTTACATTCATCAGAACCACCTTGTTAAACAGATAAACTACAACAAGAATTTGGAATAATGTATATATCACATAAATGTAAGCATGTAACAGTGGCTAATGTTGAGAATTACTGGTTCTATTACATATAATTGACAACACTAGTTTTTATTATTTACTGCATATGTGTGTGTGTGTGTGTGTGTGTGTGTGTGTGTG